AGTCATCTTGCTCCTCCTATCCTGTACTGAGCATGCCCAGTAGGATCTGTAGGAAGTGACATGCAATCAGGGATTAGGCTGGAGATATGTCACTTACTGCAAGACCCGAATGCTGTCATGCAACCAGGCATAGGGAGAAGAGGAAAGGGATCGGAGGCAGTGAGGAACATGTATGACCACTGGTAACAGTGACTGACCACTTTCAGGCAAGGATTTTTGCCTTACTGTAATATTTTAATTGTTTAAAGTGGTAGCATCAGGCAGCAGCTGCAACGTCATGACGTCACGCCGCCGAGACCTTGTGCAGGTCTGGCGGCCATCTTTGGATTCATTTATGGTCAGTTTTTTTTTCACTTTGTATACACCTGTACTGGAAGCAATAAACACCCTCTGAAGCAGTATTACACTATTTGGTATCCTTCTTTGGGCTCTTTGTGAGCTTAACCACCCACAGAGCTGTATAAGGAGGAAGATAGAGGTACTGCTGTCCACTGATGATTCAGAGAGGGAACTCCAGACCAGGCTGTGCATACCTTTAAGAGGATCTCCAGCAGACCTTTTGAGAGTTTATGTTCTCTAATGCGAGATTATATTGCCCATCTGGTGAGTGCGCAATTCTTCTATTACCTGACACATCACCATATGATTGGATATAGAAAGTCGATCACCATACTCTGAGATCATATGATTGGATCTTCACCTTCCTTTTGGACATTGTCACCATATTTAACACCATTAGTCACCTTGAGTGACAGTATATACAGGATAAACTCAAAAAATTTGAATATCGTGCAAAAGTTCATTTATTTCAGTAATGCAACTTAAAATGTGAAACGAATATATGAGAGACTCACTACATGCAAAGCAAGATAGTTCGAGCCGTGATTTGTCATAATTGTGATGATTATGGCTTACATATTGCCTAAATCACGGCTTGAACTATCTTGCTTTACATGTAATGAGTATCTCATATATTAGTTTCACCTTTTAAGTTGCATTACTGAAATAAATGAACTTTTGCACAATATTCTAATTTTTCGAGTTTCACCTGTATATTTATCACTTTATGAATTCATGTATGTTTTTGATTTATGGTCACTTTATATGCACTTATATGACTTTATGAATTACAGTGATGTGTTTTATTACCTATAATTTTTGCTGGTTGATATGTGAATTTAATCACTCCTGCAATTTTTGACTCATTGCACTTTGACATTTGATACTTTGTTCTCAGCGCTGCACCGGTTTTATATATTATTGACTTGGAAAGGTTTTTTGGTACCTTTTTTGGTGTCACAGGAGCTTACCTATAGCGCTCACTTTACCATTTTGTGCATTAAAAACTAATATATTGTAAAAAGCACATTATAAAACTCACAACAGTCCAAACAAGGTTGGCAACGACCAACCACCCCAACCCCCTTGCACCCAGAACTCCGGGAGCTGCTTGTATCCCAAAACTTGCCCCGTAGGAGCCAAACTATATGGGAGACGTGGTCACAAGTCCGGACCCCAACCGAAGGAGTGGAGCAACTCCACCTCTCCTAGGAGATGCCAGAACATTCAGGGTAACTTGAATCAGTCTCCTGGCCTCGGCCAGGGGCAAAAACTTAAGGGCCCAACAGTTAGGCATCAAGGCACCAAATGAAGCATAGCGATCAAAGTAGGTGACAACGCCTCCAGGTGGCATGTAGGAGTTCATTCCAGTAATGGACAATAGACATTGGAAAGTCAAACAAAAAGGATCTAGGCTGGATTACAGTGCCAATTTCCCGTGTAGTGAGCAAGGGAGGACTACAGGCCTCAATCAGGAGGCTCAAACTGAGCAATCCAGTAGAAAAAGAAATAATCTCTGAACAGGTAAGGACTCCAGCCAGGTTGCCACATCCTTAGGTGTAGTGAAAAAAGCGTACAATATCTCCATCAATCACACGCAGTTTGGCTGGAAAAAGCACACTATATTTGATGCCCTTGGCTCACATCGCGGCCTTGACAGAGTAAAAAGTTCAAACGCAGTTTTTGGGTTTCCACAGTAAAATCCGGAAATAGCAGCAGCCTAGTGTTAAAGTAGGACAGATCTCCAATTGCCCGAGCAGCCCGTAGGAGTTCATCCCGATCGGGAGTTTATCAGCTGCAGGGTAAATGTGCGCCCGCCCTACAGTAAAATATGGGGAAAGCTGGGCCGTAGGCAGGAGAGCTCTCAGCAGCTCTTCCACAACAAACTGTGGGGTGCTTACCCTCCGCACCTTCTGGGAGTCCCACTATACATAGGTTGTTGCATCTGCTCCGGTTCTCAGCGTGTTCCGCCCTGTATTCCAGGGCTCTAAGCTTCATTTTCAGGGAGCGGAGGGAGGCCACATGTTCCCCCACATGTCCAACCCGCTATTCAGCTGCGGAGAGTATCTTGTCAAAGTCCTGGCGGAGCAGCCCGACAACCATCTGAACCACCTCAATCTTAGAAGTCAATGCCGCCTGGCAGGTGGCAATAGCCATCATCACCCGAGGAATCACAGCCATATTGGAGATGTGTGCCTGCGGGGCAGCCCCAGGCAGATTGGGCTGACCGTGACGGTTGCAGCAGGGGGGAACCAAAGCCTCATACCCCCTTTCGGGCGCCCAGAGGACCTACAAGGCACCCAAGAGTGTGGGCGCCATCACTCAGCTATCACTAGGTGCAGGATATATATATATATATATATATATATTTTTTTTTTTTTTGCAGGCCGCAAAATCATATCATGTCTGTTCAATTCAACCTTCTCCTCTTCCATTTCAAGGGTGTCATGTATGGTCTTTATGAGTTCATTAACCTTTCCTAGGGAAAGTTTATAACCTGAAAGTTGGAGCTGCCCTCCCAGATCCTGCTTGTTACCATAGTTGGAATCAGATCTACCATGCTCACTGGTTTCAACCCCTCCTTTCACGGCTGGCTTCAACGCATGCCCATCAGCAGAACCTGGTACAGACCCTGTGCTTAAAATGGAGAAGGCATAATTCACTAGAATGTTTCTGTGCATTAGTTAAGAGTCCTAAAACATATGGAAGGTTGCTTCAGATTCCTCCAAACTGGAGCCGTTTTGAACCCAGGTACCACGGTGAGACTGCTATGTCATGTCAGCAGAGCAAGAGCTGGAAAGCAGTTTCAAGAAGGAGGTAGGGCACGCAGTCTCAGTAACCCACCTACTAATGATGTGGCACAGACGCAGTGAACACAAGTTTACAAGGCTGCCGTACAGAAAGATTGCACAGGCATGGTAGCGGGAAAACTGCTTGCTGCTAGGCTCGAAAAAATGGCACCAAATTCAAATCAAACCGGTGCTCCCAGCTTGGCCTTAGGAGAAGTGGTAAGCAGCTATGCCCCACACCCCAAAGAGTTTTGGAAGAATACTGGCACTCCCTTCTGCCTAAATGTTAGCGAACTTCCACCCTGTACTCACCACTGAAGACTTCACACAGGCAGGATTTACCCTTTCACTGTACATCATATGGACCCGACAACAGGGGGTTTTATTTCCAATCCATTGGCTGCAGCCACCGGGATTGTGCATAAAACGGACAGGCAGACTCCTGCCTGTCAGGTGGAAGCAGTCAGGCACCTCTGCTGCCCTCTGTTCTGGTGCCTTTTAGACCCTGCATGTATCAAAGAGAACCCTGTCACCAAACAACCATCACACAGGAGACTGTGTGCCCTATATGATGGAAAAAAAAAAAAAAAAATTTTATTTTAAAAAAAAAAAAAAGAGTTACACCCAAGCACATACTCCAACCCCTTACATATATATGCGCATACAAACGTGAACACACGTCAGGGGCGCGTATGTGTGAAAACGTTGATTGTGATACACGTTACATATCCCCATGCTTGCCGGAGTGAGAGCAAAAATTCTAGCACCAAACCTCCTCCATAATGCTAAACTGATGACCTATAGGGGCTTTTGAATCATCATCTATAGAAGATATAGGGTACTGAAGTTTGTCGCCATTTCATAGGCGCACACACAATTTAAAGGTTTGGCATGTATCTATTTACTTGGCACAACCTTGTCTTTTATATTTTAGCAAACAATTTGGGTAATTTATTGCATTTGTTTGCCCTAAAACTTAGCATTTCCTAGACCTTTGCAATAATATTGTGTGACAAATTGGAGCTACCACTACTTTATTCTCTAGGGTGTCTACTTTACACAAAAACCCCAAACATATATTTTCTGAATCTTCGGGCCTAAAAATATTTTTTTTTAAATGTGTGTGCAAAAAAACGGATCTGGCAGCAAAAGGGTTAAAGGTGATCAAACCCCATTCTGGCTTCACCCTTCCATGGTGGGAATACCAATGTAGGTGTCTTCAGAGACAGGGCAGCCACTGTAAGACCACGGCTGGACCTGTGAGGTCCCCTGCAACTTACTCCACATGTTGCTCTACGTGCCAAGGAGAGTGCCTACAGCAAGATCCAGTGCACTTAATAGAGGCCGGTTCCTCTTCTTCCATCCAATGGGGTCTAAACATGGTCCCTTTCATAGAAGAATCTGAGAAACGTACCTCCTTTCTTATGGAGGTTCTTTCTCTGAGAGAAGAGACCCATCACTCTAGGAAAAAAAAAAACAAAAAAAAAAAAAAAAAGACAAAAAAAAACAAAAAAAAAAAAAAAAAAACACTGAAGCTAGCTGCAGTGGGAGGAGGTTATATAAAGGGGGATGTCACAAAGTCTTTTTTTGCCAGTGTTCAATCACCTGAAAGTAGCTGCATATAAGCCATGTTGACAAAATCAATGGTAATGAAAGATCCTGTGTCCTGTACTGAATGACAAAAATACTTGTTTATCCAGCCAGAATTTCATTGAACTCTTATTTTTCTTTAGTAATCTGACAATGCTGTCACTACCAGCCCTTTTTATTATGGCGGTAAGGAGAGGGGAAGATGTCCTGTACTCCAGTCGAAGTGACAGGGTTGATATTACTGATTAGGATGTAAACTACAAAAAAAAGAAAATAAATTACCACTGATTTGGGCTCTGAAGAGGTTTTCTCAGTCACATCACAAGACTGTTCATTGTTATTTCTTTCTTGTAACTCTTCTTTTTTCTCTGAACATTTCTGGGAAAGATTCTCATCAGAAGATGACGACGTAAGGTGAGAGGAGGATGGATATGTCGTACCTAATGTTGAATCTGAAAGCAAAATGTAGGTTACTGTGATATTTGCAGACACATGCAGACTGGTATTCAGACATATTCAGGTATCATAAAAATGTCAACAGACAAATAACTACAGCATCCCGACAATACAACTGTTAAAGCAAAACTAACAGGCAAAATAAGATTAAAATAAATAGTCCAGTGAAAGATAAAAATAATAAAACCAACTTCTGGGGCATTATTCACCTTCAAAATCAATAGATTTACATGCAGTACCTTTTTTTTTTTTTTAAATCATATTTTTTATTGAAAGTTAGGTCCATACACATGCATAGTTATTAAAGTACAAATACCAATGTAAGGTCAAAATTAGGCAGATTAACAACTGAGAGGATGCTTGCCAGAAGCAGCTTAATATTGTCAGTGGAGATATCATCCTGCCAGGCAGTAAGATGTTGCAGTTGACCGGTCATGTAATAAAATGGATTAGGGACCACCAATCCAACAGCATCTTTAGGTTCCTGCAGTGTTTCCAGTTTAATATGGGGAGAATGCTTCTTCCAAATTAACCACTTGCCAACCACGCTATAGCTGAATGACAGCTACAGTGCGGTTGTCCAGTTCTGGGAGGGCATCATATGACGTCCGTGATCCTACGGACACAGCTGATCACATGATGTGGTAAAAGGCCAATCACAGCGGCCTTTTATCATGTGATCAGCTGTGTCCAATGACACAGCAGACCACCAGGTAAATACAGTTGCCGGTTATCGGCTGCACTTTCCTCACGCTGTCACAGTGTGAGGAAAGTGCTGCCAAGAACCGGCAATTGTCAGCGAACAGATCAACAATGATCATCAGGGCACGGATGATCAGTGCCCAGCAGTGCCACCCATCTGTGCCGTCTATCAGTGCAGCCTCATCAAATGCACATCAGTGAAGGAGAAAAATTACCTGTTTCCAAAATTTTGTATTAGTACAGAACCTTTTTTTTTTCTTCAAATTTTTGCTCTTATTTTTGTTTATAACGCAAAAAAATAAAAACACCCAGCTGATATTAAATACCACCAAAAGAAAGCTATATTTGTGTGAAAAAATAAAATTTAATATGGGTACAGTGTTGCATGACCACGCAATTGACAAAGTGTGAGTGCTGAAAGCTGAAAATTGGCCAATGCAGTAAGGGGGTATGAGTGCTCGCTAGGTAAGTGGTTAAAGAGTGAAACAGTGGCAAATTTTTTGAATACATACAATATCTCCCAGAAACGAGTACACCCCTCACATTTTTTGTAAATATTTTATTCCATCTTTTCATGTGACAGCACTCAAGAAATGACACTTTGCTATAATGTAAAGTAGTGAGCAGGGGCGGACTGACAACTCATGGGGCCCCCGGGCAATTTGGGATCATGGGGACCGTGTCCTTGCCCACACTCAAAGCACACCCAAAAAAGCCTATTAAAAAAAAAAAAAAAAGTGTACCAGGGGCATTTTATGGGGCCCCCTACTGACCCTGGGCATTGCCCGAGTGCTCGAATGGTCAGTCCGCCCCTGGTAGTGAGTGTACAGCTTGTATAACAGTGTAAATTTGCTGTCCCCTCAAAATAACTCAACACACAGCCATTAATGTCTAAACAGCTGGCAACAAAAGTGAGTACACCCCTAAGTGAAAATGTCCAAATTGGACCCAATTAGCCATTTTCCCTCCCAGAGGTCATGTGACTCAGTGTTGCAAAGTCTCAGGTGTGAATGGGGAGCAGGTTTGGTAAATTTAGTGTTAATCGCTCTGTCTCATACTGGTAACTGGAAGTTCAACATTGCAGCTCATAGCAAAGAATTCTGAGGATCTGAAAAAAAAGAATTGAAATAAATAGGTGCAGCGCTAATAGCAAATAAACATATGTTATAAAGTGCCAAATGCAAATAGAGAATGATGACTCATTCAAATCAAAATACAGATATAAAGTGTCAATAGTGCAAATAATAAATCATGAATAGTGATATGAGTGCTAATGGTATAATCACGTAAAATTCAATAAATAGATTGTGCAAAACTATAAAGCCACACAAGGTGGTTAAAGTGATGAATATTTAAAAGTCCAAATAATGAACGTGGGGATCCAAGAAGATCTCAGCATAGGTGTTCCAATCTCCTAATCCAAAGTGATGGATGGTGTGACTGGTAATAAGTAAGTAAATTGCACACTCACCAGATGCGCGATAATACACGCATTTGAGATTACAACTGTCTCATCAGGTCAGCCAAATCATCCAATAATGTACACAGCCAGGATCCTGTTCCCTTTAGGGTCCTCCAATTGGTATCAGTACATCAGGTTTCCTCTAAGACAGGCTCTGTGAATGGTTAGACATGTGTTTTCAAAGATGGCCGCCAGCGGCGGCGTGATGTCAAGACGCTGTAGCTCATCCTGTCACGTTTCATGCTCTAGCACAGTCACAGGGGGTACGCATAGTGTCTGACATCCAATTGATCCTATTTAAGGCAAAAATGGTGCATGTGCATATCACGCATGTGCCGGATAGCTGGCAAAATGGCGGGTGTGATATGCACTCGTGCCATGTTTGCCATAAATAGGATCAACTGGATGTCAGATGCTGTATGCATACCCCCTATGACTATGTGCTAGAGCACGAAACGCATCAGTTAGGAGCTACAGCGTCTTGACGTCACGCCGCCGCTGGTGGCCATCTTTGAAAACACATGTCTAACCATTCACAGAGCCTGTCTTAGAGGAAACCTGATGTACTGATACCAATTGGAGGACCCTAAAGGGAACAGGATCCTGGCTGTGTACATTATTGGATGATTTGGCTGACCTGATGAGACAGTTGTAATCTCAAATGCGTGTATTATCGCGCATCTGGTGAGTGCGAAATTTACTTATTACCAGTCACACCATCCATCACTTTGGATTAGGGGATTGGAACACCTATGCTGAGATCTTCTTGGATCCCCACGTTCATTATTTGGACTTTCACATATTCATCACTTTAACCACCTTGTGTGGCTTTATAATTTTGCACAATTTATTGAATTTTACGTGATTATACCATTAGCACTCATATCTCTATTCACGATTTATTATTTGCACTATTGACACTTTATATCTGTATTTGATTTGAATGAGCCATCATTCTCTATTTGCATTCAGCACTTTATAACATCATATGTTTATTTGCCATTAGCGCTGCACCTATTTATTTCTATTTTTTTCCTAGGAGGTCTTATGGTTACCTTTTTGGTGTCTCAGCAGCTTTGTTTTGTAGCGCTCGCTTAGTTCTCTTTTGAAAAAAAGAATTGTTGCTCTACACAAAGATGGCCTAGGCTATAAGAAGATTGCCAAGACCCTGAAACGGAGCTGCAGCATGGTGGCCAAGACCATTCAGCGGTTTAACAGGACAGGTTCCACTCAGAACAGGCCTCGCCATGGTCGACCAAAGAAGCTGAGTGCATGTGCTCAGCGTCATATCCAGAGGTTGTCTTTGGGAAATAGACGGATGAGTGCTGCTAGCATTGCTGCAGAGGTTGAAGGGGTGGAGGGTCAGCCTGTCAGTGCTCAGACCATATGCCGCACACTGCATCAAATTGGTCTGTATGGCTGTCGTCTCAAAAGGAAGCCTCTTCTAAAGATTATGTACAAGAAAGCCCGCAAACAATTTGCTGAAGACAAGCAGACTAAGAACATGGATTACTGGAACCATGTCCTGTGGTCTGATGGGACCAAGATAAACTTATTTGGTTCAGATGGTGTCAAGCGTGTGTGGCGCCAACCAGGTGAGGAGTACAAAGACAAGGCAAGTGTGTCTTGCCTGCAATCAAGCATGGTGGTGGGAGTGTCATGTCTGGGGCTGCATGAGTGCTGCAGGCACTGGGGAGCTACAACTCATTGAGTGAACCGTGAATGCCAATATGTACTATGGCATACTGAAGCAGAGCATAATCCCCTCCCTTCGGAGACTGGGCCGCAGGGCAGTATTCCAACATAACGACCCCAAACACACCTACAAGACAACCACTGCCTTGATCAAGAGCCTAAGGGTAAAGGTGATGGAATGGCCAAGCATGTCTCCAGACCTAAACCATATTGAGCATCTGTGGGGCATCCTCAAAACGGAAGATGGAGGAGCGCAAGGTCTCCAACATCCACCAGCTCCGTGATGTCATCATGAAGGAGTGGAAGAGGACTCCAGTGGCAACCTGTGAAGCTCTGGTGAACCCCATGCCCAAGAGGGTTAAGGCAGTGCTGGAAAATAATGGTGGCCACACAAAATATTGACACTTTGGGCCCAACTGGACATTTTCACTTAGGGGTGTACTCCCTCCCTTATGTTGCCAGTGGTTTAGGCATGAATGGCTGTGTGTTGAGTTATTTTGAGGGGACAGCATATTTACATTGTTATACAAGCTGTACACTCACTACTTTACATTGTAGCAAAGTGTCATTTCTTCAGTGTTGTCACATGAAAAGATATAATAAAATATTTACAAAAATGTGAGGGGTGTACTCACTTCTGGGAAATACTGTATGCCTACTCTGCCCATCTAAACTGCTACAGTTTCAGAGACCCAGATCTCTTTGGAGAAGTTCCTTGGGGCAAAACAATTGATGCAGCCAGGAAAGGCACCGGGACTGATAGCTACACACTGACTACAAAACCTTCCAGGATAGACTAGCCCGTAGAGTTTGTGCCGCCTACAACTCTATCAGAGATGGTTACTCAATCCCAGAGAGTACACTCCAGGCACATATCAGTTATCCTGAAAGAGGATCAAGACACAGCTTTGTGCACCAGTTACCACCCTATCTCCCCATTATATGTGGATTTAAAGATTTTCACAAAGATTCTAGCTTCCAGACTGTTACCACACATCCCCACTCTTATCCACCCAGACCAGTCTGGTTTTACATCTAAATAGGGAGTGTATAGATCTCAAAGAATGTACTCCATGCAAATACTACACACATGCTTGTCACACCCACTTAGTACTTCTATCTGCAGATACAGAAAAA